TGCATAGAATTCAGCAACTGGCATATTTGTATGTTTTTATCCGGCTTAACTTGTGCAGCCTCGAGTTCACGAACTAAAGCTCTGAACTGCTGTATATGCTCGGTTAACTTGTCTCCTTCCTTCATCTTCAAATATGAATATTGTTTTATAGCCATTGTTTTTCTTGTGAGAGAAGATGAGGCATAATCGGTCTCAAGTCGTTCATGAATCTCCTTTTCAGTCTTCAGGTGCTCATATTCGAGAGTAGGGGGATCATCCATGGCCATAAGTAACACATACTTTGCTAGAATGTTTTTAGTACAATACATGTTTCGGGAAATTTATAGAAAATAAAAGTAATAATACTAAAAATTAATCAAAACTATTGGGAAGATTTACAGGAATATACCTAGAGTTGCCCTCACAGGCCTTGGTATACCCTACACCGGATTCCCTGGCCGATGGCACATTTTTACTCATTTAGGTGTTGTTGGAAATTCTAAGATAGGGAAGCTTGGTAGGCAATACTTTTTTTTTTTTCTATTGTTATAGAGAGGTAAAAAATCAACTAGGGTTTGTAGAAACCTTATGGAAACAAACTACGGTAAGGCTTGAGGGTTTATTTCTTTCTTAGCTGACAATACCTTTCTTCTTCTTCAAAAATCAGCAAACCTCACTTAGGGTTTGAAAGTCCCATCTTTGTCTTTTTATTTTCTTTGATAGAAGTCCCTCAAATAAGAGAAGAGAGTGGGTGGCATGACTCTCTTAGGCAAGAACAGGGGGTCATGTGGTTTTAAATTTGTGTGTGTGTGTGTGTGTGTGTGTGTGAGAGAGAGAGAGAGAGAGAGAGAGAGAGAGAGAGAAATTTGGCATGAGGGAAAGAGAGAACTTTGCGTGATGGAGAGAGAGGACTTGGGGCATGAGAGAGATCTTGTTGTGTAGAGAGAGGGGGTTCAAATCTTGTTTAAATAAAAACAAGATCTATTTCCTATTTTGAATAGGATTCCAATCTAAGTATGCCTTTTTCCAATTTCCAGCTTGACCTTAAAATAATTAGACAATCTGTGGGCTGAGAGATTTAATCAGAGCCATCTATCCCACAAATCAGCCATCATGATTTTGAGTGGAAAATAGAAACCTTACCCTTTTAGATTTTGACCCAAATCCAACTCCTTTTTGAGTTTGAAATATCATCAAACTCTATCATTATCTAGATCTCCTATAAGATAAGAAACCAAATCTAATTAATTAAAGATATTTCCTATCTTAACTAATTTTAAATTTTAAACAACAATAAGAAAGTGGGGCCCCCACTTCTAAATAAGTGCCTTGCCCCCTTATTTCCTAAATAAGTGGCGTGCCACTTACTTAAAAAAAAAATTGGATGTGACCACCTAGGGGTGGCATGTGGTCCCCTTTTAAAAAACACACACACACACACACATGTGGGGCTGGATCCTTAGTCCCACATGTATTATTTTAAGTTCTGAAAATGTCAGAAATATCCTATTGATGAAAATTACAGCAGAAATAATATTTTAAATTTTAAAAAAAATATTTAAAAAATAAATTTTTTTTAATACGAAAATAAAATATACTAAGAGTGGACTGGTAGTAATAGGTCAAAATTAACGACAATAAGAGCGCTCCACGCGCCCCAGAAAACTATATGATCCACAACTATTTTCTTATCCAACCCAACAAAGACCTATGACTCACAGTTTCATTGCAGGGGCTCATGATTGGCTTGTCAAAGTTGAATAATAAATAGTGGGACCATGATCCTAGAATGTGGATTTCAATTCTCCCTTTTAAGGCCAAGTCTTGCACTTGTCACCACAGTGCAAACGGGGTTCTCTCCATACACATATTTATGTGTCGCTCTATAAGGTTGCTTACCAATAATGCGGCTGTTATATGTACATGTTGTGTGAAAGTTTGTTGAGACTTTGGCCCTTGCTCTCTCACAAGCCTACAACCGAATACAGGAGACTACACAGTTCTCCTGGCTTATAAATATCATACTTGGGCATTTTTCTAATTTCAACAAGGGATGATCCACTGCAAACCCTTCTTAGTAGTGCCACATACCCAGGGGTAAGGGTTTTGGACATGACGAGGGCTATAAACTACCCAACCCTTCGTCAGTCAACACATACACTCTTATTGAAGTACATAGTCCACTATAAAATATCATGTTTACAAGCTCTCTTAGCCTTTAAAGGCCACAAAACCCAACATATCATTCTCCATCTCGGCATTCTTCAACCAAAGTCTGAGTTGTATGGCAGATAACTCCCAGAAATAGCCTTGAGCTCTAGAAGGTTGTGAGGCATGCAATGGGGTCTCAAAATACAAGTCTTAGAACGAGCAAGGGTATCAGCCCATTTACAGCCAATGCCGCATGGATTCTTGGAGTGTAGCTCACCTTTGTTTGAACAAAACAGGACTTTCAAATAAAGGATATTGGCAATTGAAATAGGCCATCTGTAATTAGAAAATGTAGTATTTTTTGTTGCAGGACTTATCACCACCTACAAACTTCTCTTAAACAGAACTGGGCGTGCTTTTCTCCACCGTTATATAACAACAGAAATCAGCTGCAAATTTTTTTCTGGTTCTCTCTCTAAGAATTCGGCATCTTCTGCCCAAACTGAGTCCAGGTTTGCTTAACAAAATGCCCATATTACGTCCTTCATAGCCCTGTTTCTCTATGGTGCGAGAACCAGAACCGTTGTGGTCAAGCATAGAGAGAAGAACTATACTGGTTTGAGACCTCTCCTTTTAGCTCAAATCCCGAAGAGCATAACTTATGAAGACAGGCCCTCTCTCTAAAGAGAACCCAAATCACTGTTAGGATGTGATGTTTAGGAGCAGCGAAGGGGCAGAATTGTAATTTTGTTGTGCATTAGCAGTGTGGGGACAATGTTGTAGTTTATAATTGCAAAGGTGTATAAATGTAATATATTATATTTGTAAAGGATATCGTGATATTGTACTCTAAAGTTATAATATAAAGTGAAATGAGTAGATTGTTCTTCCACTTTGAAAAGGTGTAGAACGATCTGCAACCCTTCCCTCTCTCTTTCTTCATATCTCATTTTTCACATAGTATCAGAACAAGGATCAAAGCATCTAGCATGTGATAGGGTTCCTAGAGAGTTAATTTGGTGGATGTTTTTCTTGGGTAATTAATTTGGTGGATGTTGGAAAAGAAAGGAGTCTCTAGAGGATATATTGACATGGTAAGAAATATACATGGTAAGAAAGATACATGGGAGTGCTGACTAGTGTAAGGACAACTAGTGGAGAGACAAGTGAGTTTTAAGTGACAATAGACCCACATCAAGGGTCAGTGTTGAACTCGTGTCTCTTTGTTTTGGTTATGGATGAGTTAATTAGCATCTACAGGATGAAGAACCATGATGACATAGTTTTGATTGATGTGACTAGAGACAACATCAACATAAAATTTTAGAGGGATGCTCTGGAGTCTAAAGGATTTAAAATTAACCAAACTAAGACAATATATGGAATGCCTGTTTAGTAATAATAGGAGTAGAAACGAGGTAGTAGTTAAAGATTGATGGCCAAGAAGTACCTAAACGAGATTATTTTCAATATCTAGGATTAATAATCCATGAGAATGGAGAGATCGGGGAAGATGTCGCACATAGAACTAAAGGTGGATGGGTGAAGTGGAGATGTGCCTTCGGAGTTTTATGTGATCTTTACATACCATGAAATGAAGGGGAAGTTTTATTGGAGGGATATGAGACCAGCATGGTATGGAATGTTGGTCAGTCAAGAAACAACATATCCATAGAATAAGTGTAGTTGAGATGATGATGTTGAGATGAATAAGTAACAGCTGACAAGACAAGAAATGATATGATTTGGAATAAATACATCCTAGGGAACTGAGGGATAGTAGACTTACGCTATGTGCAGTGTCGACCTAGAACATTACCAATTATGTGGGTGATTTGGTTTGTGGAAGTCTCTAAAAGGGCAAGGAGAAGGGCCAAAAGGACATGAATGAAGTAGTGACAAAAGATATGGTAACTTATGGTCTGACTAAGGGGTATGACCCTTGATAGAGCAGAATGACAGAACATGATTTGTGTAGTTGACCCAAAATAGTTGGAAAAGGCTTGGATGATGATGGTGATGATGATCAAGCAAGAATCAAGGATCTTCTCAGCATAATCAAGACACTCATAATCTCTTAATTTCTTTGCTCTTATCTTTGCTTCTTATTCTTCTTCAATACCCTAACTATTCCAAAAAAAATTGAACTGAGATTCAATAGCTGTAGGATTGAGATTTCTAATTTCATAGGAATGGGTTCCATAAAGATTCCTTCAAGGAATCACCAAATCGGGATTCCAAAGCGGAATCGACACTTGGAGTGAGAGATTCCAGAAACTATGCTCCTGAGTGTGATGTCCATTAGAAAGGTTCCAATGGTCATCTACTAATCAACTTTCACATCCACAGCTCTCTCCCCATCCACAGCACTATGATACTGTTTTATTAAACATTATTGGTTGTTATGAACTTATGATATCCAAGAAAAGATATAGTGCAACTGATTATAATGGTTTGACACTAGTCGGCTTAATTCCATGCTTGTAGTTATACAAGCTAAATTTATTGCGCATTTATTCAAGGATTTCTGCAATTCTTTATCTGCAATAGTTTGATATTCAGAATGTCCTACTACTATTCACAGGTTTCTTGCTGGATTTTTGTTACAATAGTAATCAAAATTTTCAGGCTTTTCCTTTCTATAAGTTTCATTTCCAATGCAACATCTTATCTCATACTCCAGAGCCTCAGTACTTCTTCCAGTGTTGGACTATTGGATATATGCAACATGCTTACTGAATTAGTGCATTTGCTAAAAGGGGTTTTTTGTTATAAAAGTTATCTATACTTAAGATGGTGCACATAAAATTATAAATACACTTCTCTCTTGCTAACTTCCAAATGCTCACAAGTTCTGGAACTCTCTACAGGAGGCTTTTTGTCATTCAAACCATCTATTCCTAAGAGCCTGTTGCTAGGTGGTGCGCCTACACTTAAATCACACTTCTCTCTTGTTAACTACCAAGTACGACTTGTGTTTCATCTGTCATCCTTGTTTTCATCCCAACTCTGAATCTAACTCTTTGGGGTTTCCTTTTTCTGTAACTCACTGCTTTGTTTGTTATATTTCTATTTTCAGATAAAGCAAGTAAGGACCGCACTTGCCATTGCTTCATTGTTGAATCGAACACTGGTAAGTTCGCCGAAACTCAAAATTGACTTTTTAGGTCATTGTAAAGCAAGTAAGGGCCGCACTTGCCATAGCCATATAAAGGGATTTTTAGGTCTCAAACACTGCCTGTATTATAGTGTGATGAAAGTCTAGCTTCCAATTATATGATCCCTTTTGTACTTAATGATATATTGTACCTTTGCTTAAGTTGTTGTGAATGTAACTCTTTTTTTATAATTTAGAATCACATATTATCATCATTATTGGTTCATGATTCATGAAAAGATGTGGCAAAGATTTACGCAGGCTGCCCACTTAATTGAATCACATATTATGTTTCTAAGTTCTGCCCTATAGGACTTGAATTTTATGAGAAGGTTAATCATGGAACATAAAAGTTCAAGTAGAACCCTGGGCCCTTTGCATGTCTTAGCAGTCATATCAAAGTAATAATAGCCCCAGTTACATTGATGGGAAGTTCTGAAAACTAGTCTCTTAATGTCGTCATAGTCACAGAACTGGAAATAGTTGAAAGCTAGTCTTTTGTTTATTCTTATAGATTTTTTGGTGGCATTTTGGGAATAAGTGGGTATGCAAAACGTGGGCTCCCCTGTCAGTCATAGTGGACCAGGTTGGGACCATGGTTACTGGGATCTGCCAACCAAGGGGTTGATCTCACACCGAAAATCCGATCCTGCACGCTGGGAAGGGGGATCTTGCTCCTCTACGATTCTTAAACTTTGGAATCTAGATCATTCCTATTAGGGATTGAGGTCCTGAGTTACATGGGATCCAAATTCCTTAGCAATATAGTATAGTTAGCAGTACAATATAGCAGTGTGGTACAACAGTACAGCATAGCAATACAGTGTAGTCTAGCAATGTGGTATATTACATTAGCATACACTATAGTACAGTAGTATACACTATAGTGTAGGATATATTGTATAGTTGTATATGGAAGATTTAAACATAGCATATAGAATAGTATGGTAGAATATAGAATGCAGCATAGTAATGTAGCATAGTATAACAGTATGGTATTGTATAATATTGTGGCATATTATACTAGTATATACTATAGTACCATACTGGTTAAGTGCTCTTAGGAACTTTGATTTGACCATATGGAGCTCGGTTCTGTATAATTTATCATTCACTTCCTATTAAATTTGAATCGAGCTCGCCTGTATATTGAGATCGAGATATCTAGATTTCATGGTGAATGGACCGCAATCCCTACTATAAGGAGCTTCTTATGTGTCACAGCCCTGCAGTCCCGATCCTGGATCTGATTCAATTCTGATTCCTGTAACTTTGGTTAGGACATTTATCACTCTAAAATTAGAGTAAGAAAGAAAATAGGGCTATTAGTAAAGGAAAAAGTTTATATAAGGTTGCAACTTTAAAATGTAGAATTACATATGCACCTCAAAAATCCATTGGAAAAGGTTGTTTTAATGTTGAAAAACATTCTAATTGATCACCTCGATATCGAGATATAAGAATATGAAAAAAAATAAGATTTTGAGTGCAAGAAATAGTGCATCTTGCAACACATTATCTAAATCGTCCATTTTCATATGTTTATAGATTTACTTGATTTTAAATATTTTTGGAGTTTAAAATTTTATAATTAAATATGAAAATAGATTTTGAGACAATCCTAAGATTTGTTTACACCAAAATTACATATTATGATAAAATTTAGAGGTGTGCCTTAATTGGATTGTTTAAGGTTGCAACCTTGTAGAAACCACATCCATTAGTAAAAGAAAGTTATTCTGAGACAAAAAATAACGCCATCGGAAAAAGGAAGTTACCACCCAATGGGGCCTTACAATGCACCATGTGTGTTATTTTTACAAGAAATTATGCTTGTAAACAACAAACTACGTCTTTAAGTTACAAGTTGATACTCAATAATCTGAACTATATATAAAAAATAAAGAAAAAAGTTTGCTTCTTTGCCCCCCAAAAAAAATAAATAAAAATAAAATAAATATATATATATATATATATATATATATATATATATATTTGTTAATGTCATTACATGCCCAACCACTAGCAGATATTCAGCAATTTGGGAAAACCCTAAGGGAGAGGGATTAGGAGTGGTCGTAGTAGTTAGTATATACTGTAGTAATAGATAGATGCATGTGTATAAACACGAATATTTGTGTGTGCATACTTTTTCATTATAAAGTGCATAGATGATATAATCAGTATCATTGTTATATCAATATACTACGTTTATGGGTATGGTCTATCTTACATAGACAAATACGTGTTAGAGTCACGCACGGTTGGAAATGCCAATCCCAAAATTAGCCTTTAAGATATGAGACATCCATACGAGTTTGAAGGAGGCAGGGGGATTTTATGTGACATCAAGGGCACATTTGTTTTGCAGAAGAAGGGGCTTCCAAACCCCCTCTTCCACAAAGTTTGGAGGCCACCGCTTCGATGGGTTACCATGGAGCAACATCAATTGACATTGTTTTTAAGGTCATTGGAAGCAGTGGCTTCCACTCCTGCATAACAAACGCGGGAGCATTGCAATTCCTGGAAGCCTCGGCTTCCAAAAAACAAACAAGACTTAACTATTTTGGTTGTAAAACTTCCATATTCACATGATGCATCATGAATATGTTACATAAAATGTTAAAAATACCAGTTGATACTCTTATACTATCTATGGTTGTTCTTTGAAATGTCACACATCTAAATTCTAAATTGGTGAATTGATGGTTCAATATATTCTATACTTCTTTGTAGAAATCTAATTTTTGTTAATGTGTATTTTTTTATGTATGTGTTAAATAATGCTAGCCCCACTTCAATATCCATTATTATGCATTATTTACAACATAGAGAAGATTGCATATGTCCACTAGGAATGAATTCCTGAGTTTGCAAATTTGAACCACAAGTTTTTTTGGGTAGTTTGAAACCACAAGTCCTCTTTGTTGTGCTCTAGAACTGTAATCCTAAGTGATAGTATCACTCAAGGAGGAGTTGTGGCTTGTAAGGTTCTTTTCATGCAATAGGGTAATTACTGAACTTTGGATGGTTTGACAAAAAACTTAAGCACAATGGCTATTTAAACTTTTTGTCAAAAGCAATTCATTAGTGCCTTGCCGCCATGTGACTATCTAAGGACTTGAAAGATGAGAAATGGAAATTGTTATTGATATATGTGAACTCAATGACATTTTTTAATAGAAAAACTTGACTTAGTTTTGTAATATTAAATATTAACATAATGGGAAGATATCAATTAAGGCGCCGAAGTAGTGACAAAAAATATGGGGACTTATGGCCTCACTAAGTGTATGGCCCTTGATAGAGCAGAATACTAGATCAGGATTTGTGCAGCCAACCCCAAATTGTTGAAAAAAGGCTCTGATGACGATAATTAGTTAAACTTTTTACAAAATCATCAAGGGGGTCAAAAGGTCCTAATTAATATGAGAGGGTTATTGTTTAAGTTTCATTTTACTCATTTACCTCCTCAGAAAGTGTCTTAACAAATGCCCAAATTGCTCTTGTTTATAGCTGAGAACCCTGAACACGCAATAGCATTTCAGTAATCTGACCCATCTAAGAGGCCCTAAGCAAATGGTGCGAATATCAAAATACTTTGAAAATTACTAAAATGTCAGCTGCTTCAGGGTTCCTAATCTTGAATAGGGGAATGCAGGTATTTTTTAAAATATTTTGAGGTAACTAAATGATATGAAAGCAATATTCAAAAATTCGCTGCCCAACTTCCTAGGCGGCTTGCATCTAAGCGCCCGCCTAGATGCAAGTTACCGAGGCAGAAAAACGCGGCTAGGGTGAAAATGGTCATTTTTTATTAGAGGCCTTTCAAGGCCTTGTAACACCGACATGTTATAGCTCATGACTACAGTGGGAGTGAAAAGAGTGGCATATGACTCTAGGATCTTGGCAGACTGGGACCAAGTGTCATGAAAAACTCGGGAGGATTGGTGAATATATGAGGATCGAGAGGTTTCAGAGTTCCCTCTAGTCCAGGTCGGTTATTATTATTGTTATTGTTACTGAGCTCGATTAGGCCTCATGACTGAAAGTAGGACAATGTGATCTAGCCAAGTATATACAGTTAATTTTTTTATTTTTTTTTATTTTTTTTATTCATACCGGCTAGAACACCTACATGGCTCCAAAATTACAACTTTATTCATAAAATATACTTTAATACAATCTAGGATCTTCTCTTGCATACTACTACAATTCTTTCCAATCAAACAAAAATACAATGCATGAAGAATAGTGAAGCATGGAGTCATTAGAATTACCTAATACCTTACCTCAGGTAACCCCCAAGAACTTCGTACGCCCCACACCAATGGGGAGAGACAGAGGCCAATCCAATTTCACAAGTGTAGAGAATACACCCTCATAGAGAACAGTTATGGAGAGGAGGCTAGGGTTTTTACCATCATTATGAGATTTAATCTTGACCGTAGTTCTTGGAGACCTGTGGGGTGAATAGATCTTAACCCATCATTCCTTAGATCAGCCATCATGATTAAAAGGAATGAGCTAAAATCATTATCCCTCAATTTCCATAACTCTATTCCCATTAAATATTTGTGTAGAGAAAATACTATATATTTATAAATATAATTTCAATCAATCTCTACACCTTCTTATTTTAAATCAATTAACTTTAATATATAAAGCCTTCTGTTTAATTTCAAAACAAGTAGTTAGCTTCCATGACAAGTCACACAAAAGAAAGAATGGAATATGTGGGGCATCATCCCATACGCCCCACATCCCCACCGAATGGGCTCAAATGTGGTGGGCCCAAAGTCCGAATGGACCCTCACACCCCAAAAAGAATTTTAGATAAATAAAAAGAATTTAAAAAATCAGTAAATATATTTTCTCTCTGAATTAAATAAATCTAAAAAATTAATTTTTCCTTATTTAAAAATTCTTTTCTACTAAAATAAAATACCCAGAAGGATCTAAAAAATTCATTCTAA